TATAGTTACTTTTTTGTAATATCAAGACTACTTGTCCTTGTTGGACTATTATTGACTTAGACCTTTTCTTATTAGTGAATAATTCAATCTTCTTGATTATTGATTATATCTATTAGAGTCTATGAAGATCCACCATATATTTCACATGTTCCTTCTTGAGTCATATAAAATAGTGAATATCTCGAGAAAAAGACAAATATCACCTCTTCCTATAAAAATAGATAATAATCAAGAGTTTGAAGTAGAAGAAGTCTTAAATTCAATGTAGTACTAAAATAGGTTAGAATATCTTATTCATTGGTATAGATATGATATTAATGAATGCACATGGCAGTTAGTAAAGAATCTTGCAAATGTAATAAAGAAAATTTAAGCTTTTCATCAATAACATCCTTCAAAATCAAGATGAAGAATAGCAAATCTTTGCTATAAAAGAAACAAGATCAAAAGAAAATAGCATTCTACCTTCTATCCTTTTTTGTAGCTTTTGTATATTTGTGATACTAAAGAGTTAAAAAATCAACAACTAGTAGATTTAATTTAAGAGCTTTCATTTGTGGACTTACTAGATGAGACATTACATTTGTCATAACCTTCAAGATGATGAAATTGAAATAAAGATCCTAAAAAATGACATATCCTTCTTTGAAGAGATGGCAAAATACAATGTATTTGGTATCACAATCTTGGAAGAGACTTCCTATATTTGTTGATTTTATGGTAGGAACAACTCTTAATGATATTTCAAATGTTTATATTTGAAAGAAGTTACGAAGGCTTTAACAATAATTAGATAATAAGATTGTATTTTTGCCCACATATGGAACATTATTGATAGCTGAAAAGGCCTAACAACCATCTTCGAAGAGAAGAAAGATTGGAGTATGTGATAGATACAATTTGCTGCATTTTAGATTTTCTTAATATATGAAGACTGCTCTTTGTGGAACTTGTCCTTAGAAGGGAAGATAATACCATGGATATATCTAGAACTCTAATAAATATCTATATAATTTAGTAGAAGTATGTAAAAGTAGATAAAAATAAGTTAATTTCAAAATATCTTTTAAAAAAGCTTCCTAGAAGCTTTGTAGACCCTACTTTGATTTCATATGTATTTGTAATAGATTGATAGGTTAGGAACTTGGTCAACAAGTTCACCATGTATTGATACCTTATAAAAGAAGTTCAATATGTGGCGCCCATATAGAAAACCTACCTTACAAGTTCAGATGTGTGTCTTCCAAAGTCAACACATTTTGGAAGCTCTAAAGGACATCGCCATGTAGCTTCTAGTTGAGAGTATATATGGAAGCAAGAGTGAAGCTAAGAAAGATTCACTCTTGTCTATGTTTTTTTTATCTTTAGTCTTATTTCAAGACTTTTTAGTTTTCTTATTTTTAGCAATAGCAATTCTAGTTCAATATTATATCATCTTTGAGGGACTTTCTAATTTCTTTCAGTGACACAAGAATATAATGAGGATTTTCTTCATTTGAGATTCATGTCCATAATAATGTCTTACAAATTGAATATGTCAAAGAGATTCTATAAAAAATTGCTATATAGTTCTAAGTTAGATAATATATATGAGAGCAAAAATGAAGCCTTCTTTGGTTTTGTCATTTTATTCATTTATTTATTTATTTATTTTTAATTTATGTGAGTATAAAATTTATTTTTCAATTCAATTGCAAGATGGCCTCAATAAAGATTTGTTTATAATTGGTGGTATAAAGTAGAAGTAGCAAGAACAAGATTAAAAAAAAAAAAAAAAAAAAAAAACACAAAAACACAAAAACAAGTGAAATAAGTGCAATCAAGCAATTATACACTACAAAACTAATTACAATCTATTTATTGAGTTTTTATCTAATAAAAAATAAAAAATATATTTTAAAAAGGTAATTATTTTAACTTTCTAATGATATAAGAAACATGTAAATTTGAATTATTATGAGTAAGTTATGATGTTTAAAAAATAAAAAATAAAAAAATAAAAAGTAAGTAAATAATTTTTATCTCAATTGTAATTTGCTTAAAAGATCAAAAGTTTGAGTCTCTTCAAGGCTCACAAGTACTGTACATGGATGCCCAGAGAGGCCACAAGGCCTTAGTCTTATCCTCCTAACTACCTTCAAAGTGCTACAACCTATATGGGACTTGTATACTTCCTTTCCTATAAGGACTACACTAGATGTTGGTCCTCTTATTTTCTATTAATAAAACCAATAATTTTTAACTTCAAAATGATATTTAAAATACTCAACTAGCTTAGAAACCTGTTGTGGCCTTCAAATCTTACTCCATTTCTTCATAATGGCTTTCAAAGTAGTAAAACTCATTTTTATCAAAGTCTTGAAAATTGCTCTAAAAATTCCTAAAAAATTCTAAATAAATTCTTAATAAAATTTAAAAATTATTATAATATTTTTATAATATTAAAATAAATTTTAAAATGTATTTTTATACCTTGATGATTTTTTATAGTAATAAAATTAATTTAAAACTACTATAAATTCTACTTTCTATATAACTATTTAAAAGGATATGAAATTCTTTTTTATGCTTTTTTTAACTACTACTAATATTTTTAGTTTTTTTATAAATAATATATATAGATAGAAGGATAATTTAAATATTGGACTTAATAAATAATCCTCAATACTCAATAATAAGTAAAAAATACTAAATTAACTTAGATAATTACTTCTAAGTCTTATTAAGACTCCAATTCTACAAATAACATTCTAATTTTGTATTTTTTTAGAGATTTCTATACTATTTACCATATATTATGGTTCTAAGTACTTTAAATACATCTTGTAACCTAAAAAAACTAGTGAGTTGATTTGATGACTCACAGTTTAGTTTCAAGGATCTTTAGTTTTCTTATCTTTTGGCCATAGCCATTCTAGTTTTTTTTTTTTTTTTTTTTTTTTTTTTTTGTTTTAATATACATACTTTCTCATTTTCATTTTTTCATATTTCTTTGAAAAACTATATACTTATTTATTTTCCTTGATTTATTTCTTGTTCTTAATAATGTATTCTTAATAATATCAATTTTATTCCTTTCTTTTGTAGTAATTACAAATCTATCTTTTTATATGATAAGCTATATATTAAATTCTTAAGATTATTTAGGATTTAAGATTTCAATAGGATTTGATTTAGGATTTTTTTAGAATTTGATTAAAAAATATTTAAGATTTGATTAAGACTTTTAAAAATTTGATAGGATTTGATTAGAATTTAGGATTTTATTTGAATTTGGTCTAGGATTAGGATTTAGAATTTTATTAAGATTTATCTAAGATTTAATTAGAATTTATTTAAGATTTAGGTTTTCATTAAGGTTTGATTAGGATTGATTTAAGATTTCATTAAGATTTATTAAAGATTATATTAGGAATTAATTGAGATTCAATTAAAAATTCTATTTTTGATATTTTTTAAAGATTTTTTTATTATATTCATTTTATTTAGAAATATTTTATGATTTTTTATGTTTCTTTTGTAAGTTCTTGAGACTCCTTTTTTATTTAATTAAAGTTTGATTAATATTTTTATAATTTTATTTAAGTTTGTTTAGAATTTTATTAGAGTTGTTAAAGTCATCTTGTTGCAAGTTCTATTTTTCCTTCCAAACCAAGTGTCTAGTATATTCTTAAGCAAACTTAAAATAATATGATATCATAAGAAGTACAAGCTTCAAGTACTTTCTATCTTTAGAATTCTTTGGATTGAAACTATTCCATAGAGTAGATTGATATGGCTGAAGTTCATTAATTATAAGAGACCATATCTAAAATGGAAGAAAGAGAGCTTGGCATCGTAGATGGATTTCAAAGAAAAGAAGAGATTTTTTTAACTTTTTTTGGAATATATAAAAAAGACTTTACAAAAGAGGAATTTAGGAGGTTGTTGTTCCTTGGGAGCTTACAATCCTCTAAAAGAAAGCAACCAATGAGATTAGAGGCCTCTTTACAAAGGACTTCTAAGCATAATAAAGGAAGTTTGAGCTTTATTTTGAACCACTTAGAGAGTCCTATCATCCATGTCTATACATTATAAAACAAGGCAACGTCTATTTTGTGAGATGCCTAAGATGTGAGACAAAGTGTTGAGCCAAAATCTATGCAGCACATGCTTTAGGCTCCCAGTTGTAATTAAAAAAAAAACATGAAAGTTACAGCTTATTATGTTTAAAGGTAAATTTATAATTATGAAAAAAAAGAATGATATATTTTATATAACAAAAAATATGAGAATATTCTTAATACTTTGGCAAGTTTTAAGAGTATTTATGATATTTTCTTTAAAAACTATTATAAAAATTCAGATAATTTTGAAAAGATACAAATAAAATGATATTGCAACTATAAGATTGTATTAGAAAAAGAAATACAATTCATTTAAATATTGAAAAATCAATACAAAAAATTCATAGTATGAATGCTTGTATCATTTAAGAGTGATATTTTTGTAAATGTCATTAAATCAATGGTGACACATTACAATGTTCAAGTTAGATTTTGAGATTGAAAATTTATTGTAAAAAGTTGAGTCATCAGGGTAGAGATTTGAATATCTAAATAAAATTTATGCCATCTGGAAATTTAATGAGGATATGAACCTCACAAACAAAACTAGAGTCCCTACATGATGTGCATACTAAGGATCAATTTCTCAAAACCATTAATATTTTGAATAATATTTTTTCACATTACTATTTCTCACTAGTTTATTTATTTATTTATTTATTTATTGATGTTATTTCAGTGAGAAAGTGACGTGATTTAAAACTTTATTATTAGTAAAAACCAACTCGGATCACAAGCGACACGGTCAGAGGGCGAAGGTGTGTAGACCGCGGACCCGATACCGTGGACCCCGAGGCTGCGTGAGACCGTGGACCCAAGACCGTCGCGGTGGGGCATGAACAACTGGCAGGTAGGGGGAGGGAGGCCAAATAGAAGGGTCTCTATGGCCGTGCAGCTACCCTCGTCCTCCTCGTCGGAGACGACATACGACACGGCGGGACTCACTCCACCTGCGCGCTTTTTCCCAATCGTCAAACCTTCTCCTTCATCATCATCGTCGTCCGCAACTGAAACCGAATTTTGATGCATTTGTGCATTTGGCAGCAGTTTCCAGGCTCAGTGTCACGAATGCGACTCACAGCCAGCAACTATCCTGTGCCGCAGGCTACGAGTTTGGGCGGATCAGCGGGAGGAGTTTCGAGGGATTTGCAAGGGGGGGATTAGGGGACAGGAGAGGGATTGAGCATGCTGTTGTTGTTGCTGCAGCAGCAGCAGGAGCAGCAGCATTTGTGTGAAGCGTGTGGGGATTCCTGTGCCAAGAGTGCAGCAGCAGGAGCCATGGTGAGGCCTAGATCATGTGGAAGAAGTGGGCGCTGTTTTTTGCTGTGCATGTAGTAGTGGTCAGGAGGTGGATCGAAGGTTGGGAGCGTGGGGATTGCGGGGAGGGGCTCAGCTGCCTGTCACAATGCGGGTCGCCAACGCGCCCAAACTGATCGTGGATGCGCTGCTGCAGCGCTTCCTGCCGCTTGCTCGCCGACGTGTGGACACTGCCCAAGCTCAGGTTAGCTTTAGTTTCGGAGAGGTTTGTTGGGTGTTTGACATGTCTAGGGGAATTCGAGTGGGATGGGGGGGGGGGTTAGGAAAATTTCGCGACCTAAACCTGTTGGCTGGCCGGTCGAGCGTTACCGATGTGACTGCTAGAATTTTACTAAATTAAATTCTACTATTGAAGAAGTCGTCTTTTGCCTAGTCTTTTGCAGTAGGTGATGAAACTGAACCGGTTTCTTATGTGAAAATCTGGGGATACTTCCACCTGTGTGCTTTCGGAGTACCGTGCAATTTTCGACGGTCGGTCGTCCTAACCGTAGTTGCTTTCGGGACTTGGAAGTATCCAAATCGCTCTTTTAGTCTTGAGGTGACTGTTTTGTGGTGCTTTAGCCCATTTGTGAACAACTATGACGATATGTAGCTGAGGTGACGATTCTTGAACTGGGTTCGCATTTCAGGATGGGCAGTATCTGCGAGCATCAGATCCTTCGTATGAACAAGTACTAGATTCCCTGGCTATGGTGGCCCATCATACGCCAGTCCCACTTCTTGAGGCGCTCCTTAAATGGCGAGACAGGTACCAGTCCACCTCTGTTGTGTTTGGTATATTACTACAGTTTGTTATCTTTCTCATTTGAAAATGAGGGTTGTGGAGGTGGTTACATTGGTGATTTTATGTCTCATTTCACGGCCTTTTTGGAAAGTGAAAACCCTTTTGCCTCAGTATTTGCCTTCTTAGTATGGTTTCTCTTATTCTCATGGGCGCGTTACGGTGCGTATATGAAGCCTTGGCCGTCCACCAACTCATGGCATTTCTACGTGCACTTATCTGATCGGAGCTTTAAAAAGTTTGGTCAACGTAACAGAGAGGGAGCGCGTGTTTTTGACACATGTTTAATCGACACTGACTTCCTAGGTTTTTATCTGCAAACTGCAGTGAATCACCAAACCGGCCAAATGATGCTGCGACTTTCCAGAGGAAGGTCAGTATACTTGGTGGTGTGCACATGCTTAGGAACGGCAGGGTAGATTAATTCTGGATTTGAACCTCTATTGTTTAATCGATTATTTGTGAATATTTTACATCTGAGTGAATGGGTTCATGATATCCGTATATGAGGGTCAACAGATTCCTAGATTAACTGTACAATATGATGCTCTTCTGAAGCATATTTCAGCCTCAACATTGAGGAATCTGGCTGATTCTATTCTTTGACTTATTCTTATATTCGAAATCGCGAAGTTATTATCTGGTAGATCCTGGGAGAGCATGGCATAGGCAGTGCAATTTGATGCTTCATCACAGACAACATTAATAGGTTGCAGAGTCTGTCATTCCTTTCAGGTTATATTCCATCTTATGCATGAACCCTCATGGCTTTATCAGCTGCGTGATTTTGTGGCTTGCTCGCTCATTCATCGTATATCCTTGTAAACAGCTGGCAGTGGAATGTATATTCTGCTCAGCCTGCATTCGAATCGTAGAGTGCTGCCCAGCAGAAGGTCTCTCGGGTAAGCTTTCCCATATAGCGTAATACTTATTGGGTTCGAAGGAGTTGCATGTAATATGTTTTGAAATCTGAAATGGATCATTGTTCAGTTGTAAACTTTCCGTTCTGAGTTGGGGTGTAAAATAACTAATCTGCAGAGACACTCTGGGGGATGCTTGAGAAACTCGCATTTGATTGGCTTATTAATGCAGACAGGTACTGTTCAATGCCTTGTACAGATATGTCGGAATAGAAAAGTGTAGTTCTAGTTTCTTGTTAACAATTAAGTTCCATTGGTTCTTGGCATGGTCTTGTGGATGTTTCATCCTTGCATTTACAGGTTTCTTCAAGTATTCCTGTTTCCATCGATGTCTTATCTTGGTAGGATTGGAGATTGTTAGCACTGTGAAAGTGCATCTCGGATTGTACCTTTTTGGTTTTTCTTGAAATTCTGCACTTGAATTGTGGGCCAATATACTTTGCATGGGGCAGGGTTGTGAGCTATGCAGAGTATCCATCTCTTGTTGATTTGCGAGGGCTTCTTTTAGACCTTGTTGCACAGCTGCTGGGTGCTCTTTCTAGAATAAGGTATTCTATATGTTTCTTCTTTGACTCCATCTTAACCTATTTTGTTTAACTTGATGGCTTTGTAGATGCTTGTCTGTAAGATATCTTGATATCCTCGCATTTCAACCTCTCACTACATTCGACCCTGGTCAAATGCCACCTCTTCATATGTTAAATTGTTATACTTGTTAACCTTTTTATTCTCTCCTTGAAAATATTGCTATCCTATATTTACCGTGTCATGTAGCTGATAGGTAGCCTTGCTATTAGCTGGTTACTCGTTAAATTTTACATGTTCTTGTTTGAAAGATAGATCCGCAAAGCGGTTTTACATGTCTTCAGGTTCAGCTTTATTACTGAGAGATATTTTGCGGAGCTGGTTGAGCGACGTTCTGAGACTGTAAGGAGCGAGACACTCAGCATTATACATGGAATGCGATATCTCAAACTTGAGGTGGTTCTATTCTTTTATCCTTGTCCATTCAAAGAAAAATCCTACGTCAAATTTGCAGTCAAAGTTTTCTGATATATTGTGAGTGTCTCTGCTTATGGATATGGTCTTTTTATGATCTGGCTCATTCCTAGCTGTATTTTCAGTGAGTATAGTAGGTTTTAACAGATATTCCAATTTTACTATCGAGTACAATGGAAATGAATCTGTGACTGCTGAGAGAAGAACTTCACTTGCGTCTAGACAAACTTGTGAAAAACCACTTTAGTCGCGTCTTTTAGTTGGTTTCAGTATAGCCTGCATCCAATAATTTGGTCTTAACACCTGGAACACTTTGGCACTGGAGGGCAGGTGACGTCGGCTGCTGGGCTCAACGCCGCAACCTCTTTCATATCCAAGGCGAATCCTCTTGATGGAACTCCCACTAAGAAAAAAACTGAACTTCATCATGCTCTCTGCAACATGTTATCGAGCATTCTTGCTCCTTTGGCAGAGTGCAAAAAGGGGGCTTGGCCACCTAGTGGAGGTGATCAAGGTCAAGCTCTAAGACTTTGGTACGAAGCAATGTTTCGATTACGATTCCAGCTTACGCAATGGATGGATAAACAAAACAAGCATTTTATTGTGAGTCGACAGTCTTCGCTTTCATACAAGCTCTGCAGTGTTCCGTTTTTATTGCCCTACGTAACTAGACTCAACGAGGTCATTTGTAGGAGTTTTTTCAATAAATACAAATGGGACCCTCTGACTGAAAGTGTTTTTCAAACGTTTATTATTTGAATTTGGCTGATGTAGGTTGGTTACCCTTTGGTGACGTTGCTCCTTTGTTTGGGGGACCCTCATACATTTAAAGAGTCATTTATTGGTCATCTCGACCTTCTTTACAAACTTCTCAAGGTAGTATTCGTTTTCTTTTCCATGCATATTTATGCTTATCGTGTGACTCTGGAATGAGTTTTATTACTTGTGGAGGTTATTCACAGTTACTTTATAAACCCAGCACGTGACATTTTGCAATTCAAGTTGAATGAGGGGCACTTTCGAGCAAGTGAATTGAACACATGGCATATTCTCAAAAAGCTCAAGTTTCTGTTTGTAATTTAAAAATCAGTTTCTTGATAAGTGTGCTCGTGTAACAACTAATAAGAAAGCCTTTCATTATTTTTTGCTCATTTTTTAGATTAATCAGTTCTTGCAGCACCGTCGTATAGGTTTTTCTTACTATCAGGGCTGTGCATGTGAATGGCAGGATAAAATGCTTCGAACTATGGCCTTGGATTGTCTGCACAGGGTGCTGCGATTTTATCTTAATGTATATGCAAATAGTCAACCGCATCATCAAGTGTGGGATCATCTTCACAGTATATCTCATCAGCTGTTGGCTAGCCTAAAGAAGGGTTCTCTTACCCAAGATGTGCAGCATGATAAGCTTGTGGACTTCTGTGTAACTATTGCTGAAGTTAATCTCGATTTCTCAATGAATCATATGATCTTGGAGCTTTTGCGCATTGATAACATGAGTGAAGCCAAAGTCATCGGTCTTCGTGCTTTATTGGCAGTAGTCTCCAGTCCATCACATCATCGTTACGGATCAGACACCTTTGGAGTAGAAGATTTGCATTCTTCTGCTACATCTTCTCTTCGGGGTTCTCCTACGTCATGGTCCTATTCCTCTACGTCTTTACCGTCTCAAGCTCGCCATTTGAGCTCAGGCTCCTCTATTGGTGATATGGCATTGGGGCACGATATAGGCCCTTTCATTCCAAAGGTTCGAACAGCTTTGGGCTCTATTATCAAGTCATGCCATGCAACATTCGGGAGTTTGTTGCTTACATCCTCCAAGCCTTCAGGTCGGTTTTCTGACATATTTCTTGGTGCATCTTCTCCGTATCTTTTTGGTTCACATCATCTTGTGAGTTAGGTTGGGAACTGCAAGAGGCTTTCATTTCTTACTAGATTTTTTTTCTGGATTGGACTATTCTGATATTTCGTTTATTGATATTCGATGTGAAGTTTGTATTATTACTGTCCATCATGATGTTGCGTCCAGTTAGTAACTTGAATTACGACCTGATTTCCTGTCACCGTTTTGATGTCTAACCGACATTGACTTCTGGTGTTTCGTTTACTTTTTTGGAAATTATGGAAGTATTGCTTTAGATTGATCTGGTGACTAGCATTTCGCTCTCTTTTGTGTTCCGAACCTTGAATAGTTGTGTCAATATCTAATTAGTACGTGGAATGCGTGCGTGACACAGAGCCTGGAACAAAAATAAACTCACAGGGATGGCTTGTATTTCGCTGGGCCCTCAAGTGTGTTCCGCATCTCATTCCTGAGCAATGGCAAGCTGAGAAGTTGACAGAGATTATTCCCGTCTATGCTATTAGTATAGAGCCAGGTGTTAGAGAGGAAGCAGTTCAAGTTCTTTTCAGGACTGTACGAGATCTGCCTCAAAGTAGGTTTGCTGTCATGCGGGGAATGGCTAATTTTATTTTGCGGATTCCGGATGATAAGACGTTGCTAATTAATGCATCCCTGGGGCGCCTAGTCCAGCTGCTACATGCATGGCGTGCATGTCTTGCTGAAGAGGCTTCCTCTCAATTTTCTCCAAAGAAACCTGGGAAAGCAGGTCATCTATCAACGTCCTCAACGCTATTAGGGCTTGCTGATGGTGAAAGGAGCAACTTTGATCCATCTGGCATGGACGCAGTTGGTCTTATATTTCTTTGTTCCGCGGAAGTTCAGATACGACATACCGCATTGGAACTTTTACGTTGTGTGCGCGCTCTACAGACTGATATAAATCGCTACACTCTCAAAGACATAGCAGGGAATCCCTCTTCATTTGTAATTGATGTCTTCGAGGAAACTGGGGTAAGCTGAGCTCATACTTCTTGCTGAGCTTTACGACACAACTAATTACATGTCGGTAGTATGATTTAGCAGAAATTAAGTGGTCAAGAAAAATCAGATCACTCACTTATTCATATGAGTTTCTATATCTTGAAATGTCTTTAACCATTAATTAAAAGTCAGGTTTAAAAGTTAGATCTTAAGGACTTAAACTCTTGGATCATTATGATGAACAAATAGAACTTCTTTAGTTGTAAGATTCTGACGATATGCAAGGAGCTGTCTATAGATGTGGTTGCATGCCTTGATAAGGACTATTTTTGTGTGAACCCTGACGATGGTGAAATTCCATAGGACGACATTATCCAACGATGCTATTGGGACACAGGGCGATGGCATGATCTTCGGCGTGAGTGGGATGCTGCCCCTGTGGATATTACCCTCCAGTCTGTATTAGAGAGTTCTGATAAGGGTCGGTGGGCACGGTGCTTAAGCGAGCTAGTTACATATGTTGCAGAACTGTGCCCTAATGCAATACAAGGAGCCAGGTGGTTTTTCGTTGACTTCGCTTCTCAAGCACTCTGCTCTATACCGCGTGTGTTCATATTCATGTTTGTTTGTGTAGCTCCCATACATCGGTAGTATAGAACTTGAAGGCTGTGAAATACCGAGTATGAAATTTAAATTATAATTTTGTGAGAAGTGAGGATCATAACTGTATTACAACTTGAGACATCTTGTTCTTCTGTTGGAGCACAACTGATGAATCGGTCTTGTTTCAAATATATGACAGATTGGAAGTTATTACAAGACTAGGCCATATTACCCCTGTTGATTTGGGTGGTAAATCTGCGCAATCACATGAAAGTGATAGCAAGCTTGACCAGTGGCACTTGTACTCTATGTTTGCATGCTCCTGCCCTCCGGAGGACAGTAGTGATGGCTTGTTTCGTTCTGTGAAGGAATTATGCAGACTTGTATTTCCTTATCTCAAATCCGGAAATGAGGGGCAAGTTGTGAGTTCCACCTCTCTGATTATTTTCCATTCAGACTTAAAATGAGTTTGTAATGTTTTTCCTCTACAGTAGTTTTGATGTTCCTACATTTAGTTTCGCCACTCTTTTAAGGTCGTACGGTGCATTGTGCTAATTCGTTTTTGGAATTACTAACGTATATTTTGGTGACGAGTAGGCCGCAGCTACACTCGCTCTGGGGCATTCAACTTTGGAGCTTTGTGAGCTCATGTTGTCTGACCTTTCCATATTTCTTGAGGAGGTCGCATCAGAGATGGAAAGTCGACCAAAGTGGAAGGTGAGTAAAACCCAATAGCTCGAACCACATTTCTTCCACACGATTCCTCATGAGTAGTTGAATAACTACCGTATTTGTTTATATCTTCTATTAGAGCTGGTATCCAGATGTGAAAATTCCACTTTCACCTTATTCTACCCTTTTAAGAGCCTCAATCGTCAAAAGATAGATTAAGTTTCAATAAATATTAATATCGTTTCGACTATAGAGACATGATTGATGATGCCAAGGTTCATGAAATTGCACCTAATAGAATTAGCTGTACTCCAGCATCCCTGGTTACTTGCAGTTCTTTCAAAGTATACTATGTCAAAGCAGGCTGACCTGTCCTTGAGTTGCTATATCTCACAATGTGGCTAGGTGTTCATGTTTCCAAAATTCTTCAATTGGTAAATCCTCTTGATTCTGGAATTATGGCTTTATAACCTGCTTGTTTGTTAAGGATTGTAAATTACTTATTTGTGAAAAGACCGTAAAGTAGCATTGGTTGTATGAGATAGAGCATGCACTGTTTATTGTGTAGAGTCAGAAGTGGAGGCGCGAGGATGTTAGGGTGCATGTGGCGGACGTGTATCGTATGGTGGCAGAGAATGCGTGGCCTGGTGTACTGACCCGCAGGCCTGTGCTACGCATTCACTTTCTGAAGTTCATTGAGGAAACAGTGCGACAGGTGTCAACTGGGCCGTTTGAAAATTTCCATGATATTCAGCCTTTGCGTTACGCATTAGCTTGTGTGTTGAGATCTATTTCGGTCGACATGGTGAAGGCACAACCAGAGAGGTGAACTAGCGTACTGTTGTCAAAATTTGTGTTGATCATGTTATTTTAATGGGTTTTCCTTTTTGTTACACATCCTATTTAGGAGGCTTATATGCAAGCATAATGCACGTATGGCTGGAGACCTGTATTTGACTTTAGATTGTGAAGTAGACTACCCAAAGTTGTTCAAAACTTCCTAGCTAGTTGTGTGAAAATGGTGCCGTAGGTTGTTTTACATAAGCATGAAATATTTGCTGACATGTGAGTGCAATCAAATGTGAACACTGATTTCCATTTTATCCCTTCATGATTCTTCCATCTTGTAACCATTATTCTGCAACTTTCAAGGATCTAATAGATCTCTCTGTTTTGTACCTTCCTTCCGTTTCCCCTGAACATCAATCTTCTCCTAACTAAATTTCAATTCTGAATTATATCTGCAGATTTGATCCTCGCAGCCGTAAGAAATGGTTCGATCTTCTTTCTTCATGGTGTGAGGATACTACTACTGGATGGGGCCAGGATGGTTCAAGTGAGTATCGGCGGGAAGTCGAGCGCTATAAAGCTGCTCAAAGTCTTAGAGTCAAAGACTCAATGGATAAAAATTCAATTGAAAAAGAAATCAATGATAAAGTGGACGCAATTCAATGGGTAGCGATGAATGCCATGGCAGCTCTTCTTTATGGTCCTTGTTTTGACGACAATGCTCGCAAAATGAGTGGGCGTATAGTAGCTTGGATCAATGGGCTTTTCTTGGAACCTTCTGGAAGAATGCCAGCTGGTTATTCACCAGCAGATGCACGAAATATGTCTCCACATTCCAAGTTTGGAATAACAGGGTTTCTTGAAGGCATGAGGAACGGTACTGGTCGAGACAAGCAGCGTGGGAGCCCAGCTCGAGTTCTCCTGGCAAAGACTGCTCTTATGAATCTGCTACAAAGTAATCTGGACCTCTTTCCTGCATTTATCGACCAGGTATGTCATTGTAAAGTTTTTAGAGAAATAGATCTGTTTCGGATTCTTACTTGATTCAAACTCCAAAATCTGCTTCAAGTTTTGCTGTCAGTGCAGTCCATGGTTTTCAAATGGTGTCATGTTTTGCATGCATGTAATTTTTGAACTCCCTTATTTCTTGGTTTTGAAGTATCGGTTAATACTTGTCTTGCAGTGTTACTCATCAGACCCGTCTATAGCAAACGGGTATTTTACAGTCCTGGCTGAAGTTTACATGCGGCAAGAAGTCTCCAGGTGTGACATACAACGCCTACTTAGTTTGATCTTGTACAAAGTTGTTGATCAATCACGGCAAATCCGGGATGATGCATTGCAAATGCTGGAGACGTTGTCAATTCGCGCATGGGCCGAGGAGGGTGAAGATGCAGGACGGTACAGAGCTGCTGTAGTGGGTAGCCTACCTGATTCATATCAGCAGTTTCAGTATCAATTGTCGGCCAAACTAGCCAAGGAGCATCCTGAGCTGAGTGAATCACTTTGTGAGGAGATAATGCAGAGGCAGCTTGATGCTGTTGACATTATTGCACAACATCAGGTTCTTACGTGCATGGCGCCTTGGATTGAGAATCTCAACTTTAGTAACTTGCTGGAATCTGGCTGGAGTGATCGTCTGCTTAAAAGCCTGTATTATGTAACTTGGCGGCACGGAGATCAATTCCCTGATGAGATAGAAAAATTGTGGAGCACAGTGGCTATACAAAGGCGCAATATCGTTCCGGTTCTCAATTTCCTCATTACCAAGGGCATTGAGGATTGTGATTCTAATGCATCGGGTGAAATCAGTGGTGCATTTGCCACGTATTTTTCTGTAGCGAAACGTATAAGTCTCTACCTGGCCCGTATTTCTCCTCAACAAACCATTGATCACTTAGTGTACGAGCTGGCGCAGTGTAGGCTTGAGGACCCACCTGAAGAGGTTAAAAGACCCGATCCTTCTTTTGACAATGAGATAGCTATATTGGAATTCTCTCAAGGTCCACTTATGACACAAGGTGATCCCTTAGCTCATCTGACTGCATTGGGGGTGAGAAGCTCAGTCGATGGCACCACAAGGAATGTGAGTGGTAATTTGAGCTGGCGAACAGCCACAGGGCGAAGCATGTCTGGGCCTTTGAATCAGATGCCGGATCAGCTGATTAATGTCCATGCAGGACGCTCTGGCCAACTGTTCACAAATTCCGGACCATTGATGAACCTTTCAGGTCCTCTAATGGGAGTTCGAACATCTACCGGAAGCGTTAAGAGCCGTCATTTATCTCGAGATAGCGGTGATTATTTCTTTGACACTCCTACTGCCGAAGATATCCGGACTAATGCTCCAGGTGCAGGTGGTGGAGATTCGCAAGCTCATCACCACTGGCTTTCTCGAGCTGACATTGCCCTTATCCTGCTTGCTGAGATTGGATATGAGAACGATGAAGATTTTCGTGGGCATCTTCCACTGCTCTTCCATGTTACTTTTGTTTCCATGGACAGTTCCGAGGATATTGTACTTGAGCACTGTCAGCAGCTCTTAGTGAATCTTCTTTATTCACTTGCTGGACGACACCTTGAACTTTACGATGATGGTGATAAAGAATACAAACAACAAGTAGTTAGTCTTATCAAGTATGTCCAGTCCAAGAAGAGCAGCATGATGTGGGAGAATGAAGACATGAGTCTAACTCGGACAGATCTACCTAGTGCCGCTCTTCTATCAGCCCTGGTGTTGAGTGTTGTTGATGCGATATTTTTCCAGGTTCATTTTTATCCTTACGTCTACATGTCATGATCGGAATGAGTAATATATTTTCAAGGGTCAGGTTTCAATTTCCTGATGGACTATGCGGTGGATTTTAGGAGCGGTTTGTTCTATTTATTGGCTACCTATGGGTTGATTAGGTGACATGGGCATCGCTGAAATAATTTTTCTCCTCATTTATCCAGGGAGATTTACGTGAAAAATGGGGAGAGGAGGCCCTGAAATGGGCAATGGAGTGCACTTCAAGGCATCTCGCATGTCGATCACACCAAATCTACAGGGCTCTTCGACCAAGTGTGACTAGCGATACCTGTGTGTCTCTACTTCATTGCCTCCATCGCTGCCTCAGTAGTCCCTCACAACCAGTGTTAGGGTTTGTCATGGAAATATTGCTAACTCTCCAGGTACAGTGAGTTTTTCGCATTTTTCTTACTTGCATGGTGGATTTTTTATTTGAATGAAATCTGCATTTGTAGTCCGAAGGGCTAAAATTGGCAATACACCTTGATCTTATATAGTAGCATTGGTGTTACAGGTGATGGTTGAGATCATGGAGCCAGAGAAGGTCATACTGTACCCCCAGGTGTTTTGGGGCTGTGTAGCCATGCTACATACGGATTTTGTTTATGTTTACACCCAGGTCTTGGAGCTTTTTGCTAGAGTCTTAGATCGGCTTTCTTTTAATGATCAGACAGCAGAAAATGTACTCATTTCAAACATGCCTCGTAATGAAGCAGAGAGAGACGATCGAGATTTAGGTCGTCTTGACTCGAAAGGCTTTTATCTTGGTGGTGAAAGATCCTTTGAATCCTCATCAAGACAATCAAGCTTTCCACCTGCGAATAGGGAAGAAACAGATGCCGAAAAGGCCCCACCATTTGAAGGTGTGCAACCTTTGATTCTCAAAGGCCTCATGTCAACGGTGAGTCATGCATCCGCTATAGAGGTGCTGTCTAGAATAACTCTTCATTCCTGCGACCAAATTTTTGGCAACTCAGAAACCCGATTATTGATGCACATTGTGGGATTACTGCCGTGGCTCTGCTTACAATTGCGGAAAGAGGAGAGTGTAGGAGCTCTTGATCCATCACCTTTGCAGCAGCAGCTACAGAAAGCAAGGTCAGTAGCAGCCAACATTTCACAATGGTGTGCTGCAAAACAGTTGGATGAGCTTGGTTCAGTGTTTTTTGCTTATGCGGAGGGGCAAGCAACAACAACCGAGGGTTTGTTGGAACAAGTAGCACCACTACTCTGCTCTGAATGGTTTCCTGCACATTCAAGTTTAGCTTTTGGTCATCTTCTCCGCTTGCTAGAAAAGGGGCCAGTGGAGTATCAGCGAGTCATTCTTCTTATGCTGCGCGCATTGGTCCAGTACACACCAATGGAAAGTGCCAGGATCCCGCAGGTACCTTCGCCCCTCTTACGATTAGCTTCTCTACTTCATGAAAATTAATGAATTTATTAGCTTTGCTGTCCTTGTTTGAGTTGAGATGATGTTAGAACTCTTTATACCGTATGACTTAGGTTCCCAAATTCTGTGCTGCCCCAGGTGTATGCTGCCGTATCACATTTGGTGGAGAGTCCTCTTTGCATGGAGGCTGTAAATGTACTAGAGGCCGTATTACAGAGCAGTACACATGGGAATATACATGTAGAGACACATCCCAACAATAATCCCCAGGACAATGGTATAACTAACAACGTCCCCCGAAGCTATCCTCGACGTCCTGAGGATTCTCCTCAACGAATCCTAGTTCCTACAAGCTCCTTCAAATCGCGTAATAGTAGCCAACAGTTATGGGCTGGCCCTGTCAGTCCTGAAGCTGCTGACATACTTCCATCCAGGTCTGATCGCTCAACCTATTATCCTACATTTTATTTGTTGATTAATTTGGCTCTTTAACTGGATACCGAAGAGTGCTGCTGCATATAGCTGAGACTTTCAGAGAATTAAAAGAATCGTTCTCTAGTATTGAAAGTTGCAGTTTCGACAGACATTCTCTACTGGAAGTATTTGACCCGAGTCACCAATGCTTTTTAGTGACTCGGGAAATGATTGTTTCGGATGTCGAAGCACTGCTTCGTAATCAGCGATTTAATCTTGCACAGACCATGATTTTATTTTATTTCTCCTGATATTTATGCTCCAAATTTGGTTTGTGTAGGGAGAAAGCATTACGAAACACTCAGTTGGCTCTTGGTCGGGTGTTGGACACATATGGCCCAGGAAGGAAACGTGACTACAAGAGGCTCGTGCCTTTTATTACGAGTAATTTACGACCTGCTATAACTGAGCTTTGAATATTATTTCCAACTTTGGTGCTCAAATACTTGGCAAGCACTGGGAGTTCCATGTGTCACTTGCAATGATGAGTTTTACAGCCCCGATGCACTCCAAGTTAATCGTAAATTTTGGAACATGGTTTGGGGTTTGCTTTTCCCTTTTAATTTCCCATCCCTCAATCGGTGGCACATTTGCCAAGGACATAGTATCTTATATGATAAGGCTTCTTATATTAATTAGGAGTTTATTTCAGCTAAGTTTCCACTCATGGCATTTTGTATCAGCTTAATTTTCGAGGATCTAGTAATATGGTGCCTTGCATAGTGCGTAGCCTTCCGGTCCTAATTTGAGGTGGCGAGGCGGAGAAAGCGGAAGTTTTAGGTTGTAAATCTTGTAAATGTTTTTTTGGATGACACTTTTGGCCACTTTTTAACGTGGTTTCCTACAACATTCTGAAATATTGTGTATCTTCTTACATGTAAACATTTTTTGTAGATAACAATGGATCAGGTTTACCTAACCGCAATTGTGACAATACTTGTGGTTATCGTGTTGTCATTCTTTGCGAGTGCAACCATGGCATTGATAAAGAGATAGATAAGCTGATCTGTCAGCGAACATCACATTCTGACTGTTTCGTTGCACTTCTCTGATGGTTTGACAAACAATCATTGTCAATCAGCTTCACCCAAAATAATTGCCACGTACTTGGTCAGCCACTAAAGCGCCTCCAGACCGCGTAAGTCCTCGGAAATCATCACACGACTGGGTGTAAATGTGGCCAACTCGCCAGGGCTGGTGCCGAGCTGACCCAGCAACACAACCGCGTCCCGCTCAGTTAACCTGGGATCATCCAACAAGAAGGCTCTGCTTGGCATCTAAGTAGATAAAATTGATTGATAAAGCAATCATCACCAGAGACTTCACTTGACTACACCTACGATTATAGCATTAACTTAAAAATTTATCATTCAATTTTTTTGACTTTGCTGACTTGTTCAATCTCACATTCCACGACACAAATCCCATGTGAGTAAATGATTCTATATATAACGAAATCAACAAAACCCAAATGAACCACTTGCTTGAAATACTTGTAAAGAAAATGAGCATTTAAATAATTAGTTGATACACGAATTGGGGTGTTGAACTAAAGCCACTACTCTATCTACAAATAAGAGAACCTGTGATGATAACTTAAATTGAAGCACAGCGGCTATAACCCCATCCTAAAAATTAGTAAAACACTGCATCTTCGACACCCACCTAAAACTTCTCACAAACCATACACAATGGTGCTAAACCCTTGTCATTAGTAATCTCAACAGAATTATCCAATCAAACGTCTTAAAAGAATATGTGCATTTGAACCTCGTAACTGATGTTTCATCCAAGTTAATATTGAAACAGTAACATTGCCAGGTCACATAAAGTTGGACTGAAAGACTAGCGGAAGGAATCCAGAAAATGCAACCCCAGAAAAAGCAAGAAAAGGAAAGCACGAAATCAGATTCGATACCCACTCGAGATAAAGAAATTGGAAAAATAATCTCAAGTTGATTGATATCAAGTTCTGTGTGGAATTTTAAAATCCATTCAAAATAAATACGCATTCTAGAGGCCTTGACGTGACCAAGAACATCCGGAAGGCTAAGCCTGCAAAGTGCGGACTGTGATGCTGAGCCCCTAATACAGCGCAACACAAAGTCCGGCTCCTGATGAACCTGCTCTGCACAGAAATGTCTGCCTCTACAATGTTTATGTCAGTGGGTCAAAGGCTATGGCAATGGCTAATTAATACGAAGCCAAAAAAATGATTGGCTACAGGTTGCAACAACCTGGGCCGCAGCTATCTAACAGAATGGAACTAAAAGCTAATCAAAAATTCTCTCGCCAGTGGCAAATCCAATGAAGAAAAGAGCGCTGATCACAGACAGCAAGGCCGGAGTCGCGAACACCATGAACCAGCTGCTGGGATCAGAGGGGCCCAGTTCCGAGGCTTCTAAAATGCGGCCAGTAGCTGCGACGCCCACAATACCAGCCAATGTACCTGCGGTGTTGGACACACCCATCACAATGCCAGCGTACTTCGGGGCAATGTCCAAATGGTTGACAGCGAACCCCGCCCTGGACAGTGCACAAGCGCCCAGTGCCACCGAAGAGCAGAGGACTGCGCTGGATGTGGACCGCAATGTAGGCATCACCATGAGCGCCGCGGCAGCGGTGGCAAACCCAATGGAGTTGAGAAGCTTGCGAGTATTTGTCACAGAAAAGATCCGGGTGGTTACAAAATGGTCAGCCACGATGCCACCCACGTTGGAAAAGATGAACATCACAAGGTACGGTAGCATCTTCGAGAATCCCATGTTGTGGAGGCTCACGTTTAGACCTTTCTCAAAATACGTCGGTAACCAGTTCATCAGCACGTAGAGCGCGTAATGGAAGGTGAAATTGTTCACAACTATGGCCCAGACTGGCATGCTCAAGAGAATCCGCTTCCAAGGTATGCCTCCGCTGAGTTTCGCCTTCTTCTTTACCGCGGTTTCGCCATTTTCATCTGCGAGTTGCGCAGGATTCAGCAGCTTTGCGCGCTCAAAGGCCGTCGAAGCGCCAAATCCTGCGGCAGATGCTTTTGGGAGCTCCGACCGAGGCGGGTCGCAGGAATATTTGAGCCACAGCAGTGCCCATGAGACGCCCATTAGTGCTTCGGCACGGAACACAGCCTTAGGGCCTTGCATTGCAACCAGGCCAGGAAGGAACAGCATCCCAGCTGCAGCGCCGAAGTACATACCTGAGGTGGTGAGCGAGACCGACCGCGATCTTTCGTGGGGTGGCACCCACTGCGCTAGCACTGTGTGTATGGACGGGAAAATGAAACCCTGAGCCACACCCACGAGCAGCCTCGCCACTACCATACCCGTCACGGAGGAGGCTTCCGTAGGGGTAAGGGCGGAAGTGCAAGACCACAAAACAAACGACATTAGTAAGACCCTCCGTCCTCCCCATCGCTGCGCAGCCCACCCGCCAGGCACCTGCGAGAGTGCGTACCCATAGAAGAAAGTGGACAAAATTTGACCCTTGACTGCCTCCCCTACCCCGGCCTCGTTAGCAGCCGCTGTGTACGCCACCGAGAATCCCACTCTCTCGATGTAACACACACAGGTACAAACGAACGTTAACAGCACCGTGATATAACGCTGCGGTATACGCACTTGGGAACCTAAACTCGGGGAGACGGATGCGTGCTTCGCCATGTCTCCCTGCTTGTGTCTTTCGTATCAGCAGCGCCGTTTCTCGATTGATCCTTCCACGGCATAAGCAGAAGATGATGACCCTTCCTCGACGCCGCCGGGACGTGAATATGTCCCACCCCCCTTAAGCTATCTCACACCGGAATTCATCCTCGCGAACTCCCAAACCCCTACAAATGCCACATTTCCCCCTCCCCGAGGCAACAACAATCAAATCACTGAATGCCTACTCGCATTTCTGAAAACCCCGTCGCATCTCAACGAGATCCAGCCTCGCCCTCACTGCTCCTTCGCTTGAGCCGTCTCATAGCCCCAAAATGCGATGAGGTCCTCGCGAAACTGTTAAAACCTGCATTGGGATTGCGACCACGTAAGCTTGCTCTCTCACACCCTGCGCCCCTCACCCAGCAACCATATCAATCGCATGTCAGCCAACACATCCCCCCAAAAAATAAAAAATAAAAATAAAGGCCAAAAACTGAAAAATGAAAAAAGGCTACAACTCCTTAACCCATCCACAATTCACGCCCCATCGTGATTCAATCTAGTTGAGCCACCACCACTCTACAAGTCCAAATCAAACACCGATCGATCCACCACAACCCCAACTCCCCAACAGTCAATGTACCCCAATTCAAGAAACCTGACATACCTGAAGCCCTCCTTACGCCGTAGTGACGAGTTGCAAAAACCTCCCACTGCTACTGCCACTTCGAGTTCAAGCTCCAAGTCACTCCCAGTCTCGCACTTCAAGCCCCAATTCTCAATAAACATGCACTCTCACTCTCTTTCTCCCTCTCTCTCACACAAACCCACACACATACAATGTTCGTGACGACGACGATAACGATTACATTTCTCGCAAGCGTCGCCGCTGTAAACAGAAAAAAAACACTCTCCCCACCCCAACTTAGCCTGTCGAGCTTTGCCAATAATGAAGGTTGGAATCAGCCTTCCAACTTATTCGACCACACGAGCTCCCGCAAGAGAGCATGATTGCAAAAAAATTGACTCATTGAAATCGGCCCCCCACCCACAACTGATCTCGATGTGGGTTGTTGTGCGTAGGGTTACGCTGCCGATCTATCGAACCATTCGATCTGTCTCACAGTTCGTAAGTCCGAAAATCCTTCGCGGTAAATCCTTTGCCCACCTCGGCGCCCTTCACGCTCCGAGTCTTCATCCATCCAATGGACGAATGATTGTGGATGTAAGTTCTTCGCTTGTCGTTCACGATGTCATCCTTGACGTCACTGTTTGGCTTGCTTGAAGCGTTCCTTGCAACCTTTCTTTTTAATGGGGTTATTAATAGTGTGGTGAATGATGCTTGTTTGGACTGACAAGATGCTAGATATTTTTACCCAGTTTATTAGAATGATATATCTTCGCTTTTGGTTAATGTTGATTTTTGAACAATCACTGTTGCGTTGGGAGAGATTATTAAAATTGGGTAGTTTTTATATTCTTGTGAGTGGTCTCCATCATGGTTGATCTTTTTTTAGTATTATAGTGGAAAATTTTAGTTCTTGAAAATTTTGGGTTTTTGAGTTCTTTTTCTTTTTCTTTTTCTGGAAGTATTCTATATGTTTGAAGGGTAAGATAATTGCTTTAAAATGCAAATTCAAAAATAAAAAAATATGTTAATTAAAAATAAAGTTGTAATTATTTTTTAAAAAAGAAATAGTGTAGATGCCAAAACAATTTACACAGTTAGATAAAATTTCATAGAGAATTTTAGACGTTTTTCTTACTATACTCTTAAAAACTTATTTGAAGTTTAAAAATTGTTAAATATGAAACTAATACATTCCTTACCACTCTTAATTAATTTTATTTTTAACATCTAAAATAAAATTCTATTTTTATTATTAGTAGTATCAAACAAGAATAATTTTTATGTTAAAATTTGAAAAGATGTTTGAGTTTAAATAGTAAAGTGCTGTGTTAAACTACAACTCTTTTTTTTTCTTTTTTTTTGCTGCAGGGTTCTTTATGTTTTTTGGTTAATACTCACCTTGAATATCAGACTTGACATGTAAGACTTTGTTGTTGATAAACTTAAGCATGTCCAACTATCTTACAAAATTTACTGTAAAAATCTATTTACCAAAATTTTATTTTTATAGACCATTTATTTACTTAAAATAATTTAATAATATACTATTTTGATGCTACAACTTAACATCAAAACATTGATGCCAGTTTTAGTTTGTTATTTCTTTTTATCTAACATCCTAACAAAATACAACAATAAAGAAATTACTATATCTAATAAGATGTATTTTAATCAATTTGTGTTTTTATTTATGAATTCTACTCATTGTGTAACAACTATATATAAGATTGTGATTCTTAATGAGACTACAAATTTAAGAATATATTTACCATTTCAAATGTTTTTTGACATTTTTTTATTATATTATTTTATTTTTATAACTAAATCATCTTGGTAAAATCTAAAATAAAATATGAAAAATTATTTTAAACTATTATTTACATATCTATATATTTATATCCTATTGTAACTATCCAATTCTGAATAGTAAATAATCCTTTAAGTTACCTAATATCTAATATGATATGTGATAATATTATTATTAAATAATTTAATAAATATAAATAATGATAATTAACTATTCAGAATTGGATAGTTACAATAATTTGTTATTAATCTCTTATAACATCTTATTCCAATTCTTTTAAGGATAAAAATAATCAAAAATAAATAATATTAATAGATTATAATAATAATAAATACAAATACAAAATTATAAAAAATTAATTAATAATTTTTAAGATTAAAATATCATTGTGATGGTATTTAAAATTATTGCAAGTAATATTGTTTAAAGATGGTTTTTTTTTTAAAGAAATTGACATTTTTATCCTCAATAATATGTTATGTTTTAAGAATCTTACAAGTAGAGGTATTTTAAAAAACACTCTTGATGTCTAATTATAAAAGAAAGTTGTAGATTGTTTTATTATAAATAAAAAAGTAACTTCTTAAGATAATTATTTTTTTAATATAATATAATATCTTATATAATAATTTACTATAAATAATTTTTTAAATACTAAATTATCTATATATTTATTTTGAGTATTTTTTAATTGAATATAAATAATCAATAGTGACATTTCTTTTTTTAAAATCTTTTGAATCTAAATTTGAAAATTATAATAAAAAACTTAGACAATCATTAATTGTACTATTATTATTATCTATTTATTTTTATCCTTTTTAATTAAATTTTTTGAGCTAAAATATGTTTTTTTTCACTAATTTCTTCATAAAATATTTAAAGACAAAATCAATTGTTATTTTAACCCTATATAAATAGCAATAATTTTGACTATATAAATAAAAAATAATAATTGTGTTAGTTAGAATTGGTTAAAAGAAATTGACTTAACAAAGAAATATATTAGATCTTGCAATAAATAGGATTTAGTAATCAAATAATATCTAGGACATGAATCAAAATAAGAAGAAGCTTAAGTTACTCTTGTGTAACTCAGGAAGAATAAATATTCACTCCAAAAGTAATATAGTATTAAGACTAGAATGGCTATTGCCAAAAACATGAAGAATATAGACTCTTAAAACTAGACTAAGAATAAAAAAAATATTGACAAGATTGAAGAAGACTTCACTCTTATCTCCATATATACTATTTAACAAGGAGTTATTTGATGATGTTCTATGGATCTCTTAGTACGTGTTGATTTTGCAAGCCACATATCTTAACTTGGAAGACAAGTTTTCTATATGTAATTCACATAGTTAGTTTGTTCTACAAGCTATCAACACATGTGACATATGATTAATTAGTTGACTAAGTTTTTAATCTACCAATCAACTAGAAACTCATGTAAAGTCAAAAGCCATTGTTGGGGTAGAGAAAATTTGCTTCAAGAAAGCGTTGGACTTTTGGTTGCAACTAAATGCTCAATCAAGTCTAAGATATTAAAGTTCTAAGTTCATATATATAATATTTTTCCTTTTAAGGCAATTACATCAAAAAAATAAGTCTCAGTACAAAAAAACATCCAAATATATGATAAAATATCTTAAAACCTTATATATCCTAATGGAAAATTTTTCCAAACTTCAACAGTTCATATCTCATGATCTAATTGTCTAAACAAACTAAAATTTTACAAAAAGTACTGATATACTTTCAATAACTATTAAAACAAATATTGATTGCAAATTCATTACAGATCTTGAGATATTACCAAAATCCTAACAGTAGCTTCAAATCCTTGCTTACTTATGCCTGCATGCAATTTTCTTCATATTTCACAAATTAAGTATTCAAATACCATGAAACTTTGATCTAAAGCTTTTTAACCTAATAACACACTTTTATGGAAATTTTGAAGCAATAATTCATCCAGAAACTCAAGCTATGCCTCCAACCATTACTATTAATAAAAAACAACTCACTTATTGTCTTTGAATTACATGTTCTATCTTCAATGCCTTATAACTCCTTCATCCAAATTTAGAAGTCATCAAACAATATATAAAAAGTGTAGCCAAAAAAGTACCATCCTCAATCCTAGTCACCAATCCTTTGTTGCTCTTTGTAAGTGTAAGATATGCCCCAAAGAGTGGCATGAGGTACAAAATTAACACCTTAATTTTAAGCACGTGTAACTCCTTCATAAAAACTCCAAATCACACAAAATTTGCACCCAAATCAAATCCAAAAACCTAAACTTGCTTTCTTTAACCTCCAAAGCTCAAATGACCTTAGAAAAGAAATCCTAATCCCTAATACGGCCTCAGGCAGCCTCCTTAAAGCCCATTGGATATAACATTCGACCAATAGGGATGAAGATCTTCATCCCTTGTCTTCATCCAACCATACCTTGATTTCATCCTTTTTAATAAGCCTCCTAATAGTTTAGACTTTCATCTTAAGTTTCCAACCTTTTCTTAAGCTTTATATTAAATATCTAAATCTTACATAATATAAACACTATAATCAAAATAGATAAACCTCCAAATAATTTTTCTTATATCAACTCTCTTTAAATTTACTTACTAACCACTCTAATCCACATCAAGACTTACAAACATAATATATGTTTTAATTAATTTTTACATACTATAAGCAATTACAGTACGACATCATATCTATAAAGCTTCGAAGGAATTTTTTTAGAAGACATTATTAAATTTATTTATTTTTACTTACTTCTACCTAATCATATTGGAATTTTTATGAATAAATATGTATGTTTGTGACATTATCTCCCTTTTTAGGAATAAGTTCTATAAAGAGCAATCATTATATGTTGAAAAAATCTAAGATGTAACAACTTATATTTATAACATATTCTAATCTTTATTCTCTTTGAAGATGGTTGATAGGTCTTTTTGGCAATTGATAGTGTCTCATAATAAAGTAAGAAGACTACTCTATTATTTGAACATTATTGAGACCTTCATAATTGCTTTCAAATAAAATATTTAAAATATTGTGAAAAATTTAAAAAAATTACCAAATATTAGGAATCTCTTCTAAGGTTGTCATGCCAAACACATTATATCTTGCCATATATTCAAGGAAAAATATGTCATTCTTGATAATCTTAATTTTGATTATGTTGTCTTAAAGATTGTAACAATGACAATGTTTTATCTAATAGATCAACAAACAATAATTTTTAAGTTAAATCTACTAGTTGTTACATCTCTATCTCCTTAATTCCACAAATATATAAAAACTACAAATAAAGATAGAAGATAGAATGCTCTCTTTCTTACATCTTGTTTCTTATATAAAAAAGATTTGTTATTTTTTATCTTGATTTTGATAAATGTTGTTATGAAAAGCCTCAACTCTCTTTGCTACATTTGCAAGATTTTTTGTTGGCTCCCATGTGCATTCACTAATATTATATTTACACCAATGAATAAAATATTCTTAATTATTTCGACATTGTTTTGAATCTAAGACTTATTCTATCTTGAATTTTTCATTATTATCAAAGATGTCACTTTTGTCTTCTTTTGGAGATATTTATTATCTTATATGGCCTAAAAAGAGAGATGTAGAATATAAGATGGATCTTCATAGGCTCTGATATATGTAATTGATA